CACACACACACACACACACACACACACACACACACACACACACACACACACCAGGACTGTTGAATGTGTGCCTTGAATAAGCAAGTTACAAGTGCTATAAAAAACTGCCCAATGAGATGCGTTGGAATATAACATTATTTGTGTGTCTGCTCTCCCATCCTCTGTCCAGCCCTGTTCCTGAACGGAATGGACAGACTGACTCATTTGGGGGCACAGGTTCTGGGTAAAGGAAGGCGGCATTAATCTGGGAAGTCACTGCCTTGTGATCCTTTGGGTTCTCCCCAGTTCTGCTTGCAGTCAGTTGTGAACATTAGTTTCATTGCCTTCACTTTGGTGCTATTGTGACAGTACACACCTGCTGAAAAAAAGTTTTGCATTAACGTCACAATCAAGAACACTTTATTTTATGCTCGATCTTTATCATCATGTTATGGTTGGCTACACTGTGTTTTCAAACAGAGAGGGCATCAGTATCAGCATTGAAGAATCTGCCTTCGAGGTACCCCTTTGGGGCTCCCCTGTTTTCTGAGGTATAAGATGGAACTATTAGAAGTAGCCCTCACTAGAGCTCAGGTGAGGTAAAGCAGGAACATGCCTCCACTGGGAGGACAGCATGAGCCATTCTACCAGAATCTATTCGGGGAATCCTGATAAAGTGTGCACTGTATTAGATATTTCTTTGGGGGACCTGATATCTGGGAATCTCAGAACTCCATAATGGCAGGTTCTACCCAGCCTGTGTGTGAGCCTGTCTTCCTCTTGGGCCCCTCACGCACTCTCCTGGAAGCTCGAGGCAGGAGTGTTTCAGCGCCCTGCCCCACAGTGGAGCATCTGTCAGTGCTGTGAGGCTCACACTTGTGGGTGCAAATAGCACTGTGAAGGAAAATGAAATGCAGGTGACAGGAAGCCAGGTGCCAGGAAGAGATGAGAAGGTCAAATCCAGAAGGGGTCAGAGGCAAAATTTAAGATCAAGCAGCTCCAGAACCCAATTATATGGGTTTAATTTCTGGTTCTGTCACTTCCTCTCCTTGTCTCCCTTGCCAGGCTTCTTAGCCGTCTGTGTCTCGTTTCCATAATCTGTAAAAGACGGTGTAATAATAACACATAACTCATGGGATGTTCTAGCAATTAATTAAAGTTCTTGGCACATAATTAGAGTTCCCTAAAAAGTCCTCATTACTATTACCGTCCTGGAGTGAAGAATTGGAAATCATGAAGAAGTTTCCCCAAATGTGTTTCCCCTAGGTAACTAGTTTCCTAGGTTACCACAAATAGGGTGACTTAAAGTAATAGAAATACATTTTCTCAGAGCTCAGGAGTCCGGAAGTCCAAAATCAAGGTGTTCTCAGGATTGGTTCCTCCTGGAATCTCTGCAAGAGAAACATCCTTAGCTTCTTGGGGTGTCCGCGATGCTTGTAAATATATCACTCTACTCCTTGCATCCATATCCCTGGGTTTCCCCCTTTTCTGTGTCTTATAAAAACAATCTCATTGCATTTGAGGTCTGTGCTGTCACACTGGTGATTAACTTTTAACATATGAATTCAGCAAGATAAATTCAAATGTTCAACTCCTGTCATTGTTGTGAGCTGGTGGCTCTGTCTCTTCCCCTGACTAGGCTTGAGGGCAAGAAGGCCAAAGGGACCATCATGAAGAATTGAGAGAACTCATCTTTATTTCCTGTCGTCTCTTGCCCCCAGCCTCAGCTCTACTCCAGCAGAGCAAGCGTTACTGGAATTAAACAGCATGCCACCTGCATTCTAAATACGAGCACTGTCTACATATCTCCTGCAGCATTTTGGACTTTGAATCCAATGTGGACAGCATAGTAGGGTCTCTCCCTTTCATGACTTGGCAGTGGGCACTGCACGGAGCAGAGGCCACACAAAATGCCACCAGTCCTATTGTGTATGTCACCGTGTGAAAATGATGGGCAGAGGCCACGCAACCCATCTCTCTTGAGTGCACTTTTATTACTTTATTTATTTGGCATTACTAAGATAGTAGGTGTTCACTGTGGAAATGCTATGAACTATAGCCAAATGAAAAAAAATTAAATCACCCTTAATTCTCCATAGACGTATAGATTTTTAACACTGTATTGTGACGTGTTCCCAGTCATTAGTCTTCGATACCATTTTAACAGCCTTCTAATGGTCCATTATACAACCCTCCCAATAGTCATTTAGTCCAGCCCCCTTTACAGAACTTTTAACTTGTTTTCACATTTTGTTGCTAAAAAAAATGCAAAGATACAGATTTATTCTGTATTAATTTTATAAATTCTTAGTATGTGGTACTTACTGTAACCCTGTCCCTTTTCCAAATGTTGCAGTGAACCTGGAGTACCTTAGCTTGGTTTCTGAGGGGCTGATTTTCTTATCCAGTTGGGAAATCTACTCTCAGCTTGGTTAAATTATCTCAAGCAAGCTCTCTCCTGGGCCACCTCCACCTGTGTCCTGTAACTAAGAAATAGGCTGCATTCTTGAGTCTGTCTGCTTGGCTCATTTGTTTGGGGATAAGGGCTAATGAAGTCAGTGTAGTGGGGCTTGAGCTTTCTGTGCACCGGCCAGGAAAGTAAGCGTCCTGTCCAAAGAGTGTTTCCCCAACTCCAGACATCTGCTATGTGAGGCTGGCTATTAGTTTCCAATGAAATGGGCACGAGAACGTGGACAGATGGACACGAATCTCTCACCACCATCTTCCCCGTGGAAAACGGCTCAATGAAGAATTCATGTCGGTCGCATACAACTGGTGGGGTTAGAGAAAGGAGAGGGAAAAATATTGGAGAAATAATGGGGTGACTCTGTGTGTGCCGGGCTGAGGAGCTCAGTCTCAGCAGCGTGGTCTGACTTGCTACTGCTGGTGGTAACGGGTGTTTGCCCTTGCAGCTGACACAGCGCTTGGCACTGACGATGTGTACGACGAGAAAGGATGCCAGTGTGATGTATCCGTGGAAGATCTCACCCCACCCCTTAAAACTGTCATCCGAGCCATCAGGTCAGTGTAAATCTTGAACAGAATGATTAAGAGATGCACCTTGCGTTATTTGGACTGTGTTAGCAAATTCTCTTCGCGGCAGGTGAATCTTCTGGAATAAGTACTTTTCCTTTTCCTTTTCCTACTCATCCGCATGCCTGTAAGATGATAAAATGATTTCCTTTCGTTGCCACACTGTACCGTATTCAACACAGAATCCCTTCTAAAGGAACTGAAAAGTCATGCCATACTGGAGAGATTGCATGAGAATTGGCATGCTGTGTGTGTTTGTTGCTTTAAGGACATTTAGTTTATGGATGCCGTGAGATTTTTTTCCAATTAATTTTATGATGATACTGTAATATATTATTCTGTACTTTGTATTAAAGAAAAACCTCTCGGGGTTACTTTCAAACAGGTAAAGCACTCTGCAGTGACTTGGTCCTGTCTTCTCAAGTTAATGGTTGGTCTTGCTCTGCTTCCTCAGTTGGTGGCAGAGACCCAAGAGAGTACCCAAAGACACTTAAATTCATCTTTCCAGGGCTCTCTCCTCACCTCACAAGGAGGAATCCAGGATTTGGCGTGATCAATTCACCCATTTTAATCTCTTTGGGAAATTTTGCATCTGTCAAAGAATGTGAAGTGATTTTATTGAAAAAGAAAATTTAAACCTCATCTGATCTTATTTTTTTAATACTTTCTACCTCTTACCCCCAAAACAGAGGAAAGCTTACAATTATCCAAACTAACTTAACTATTCAGATGCTTAATCTAACTTTAAATGTCAGTGTGGTTGATTATTTACTGCTGTTAGTCTGTCTTTTGGCACCATGTTAGACATCGTGGCATTACTCCATGATTGGGGATCACTAGAAGAGCAGAAATGACTTAAAAGACTTAGCTAAATGGAGCGGGGCACGACATAGTGAAAATACGTTTACTCCAGAGTGTACTTAAACTATCTGTAGAAATAACCTAAGAAGAAGCTGGCTAAAGCCTACTCCCTTCCCAACGGAGCATCAAGTAACAGACCTTCCGAGAGGGGAGGTCACACCTTCTTCTTGGCCTGTGCATGCTCAGCTTATGCCTCTTTTCTCATGGTAATTGTTAGCAATACTCCCAGTTTATCTCAAGGATCCCACTTTGAACAACCGATCGTATGGTCCCCTACCTCTGAGAACCTAGAGGCTGGGGTGACACTTCAGCCTGGAAACCCAGAACATGTCGTAAAATGATGTCTGAAGCTTTGTGTTAAAGGGATGGGGAGGATCGAGAAGTGCAGTAGCCAAAACGGTAGCCATTGATCACCAGAGGCTATTTAAATTTGAGTTAATTAAATGGAATCCAACTTAAAATTCAGTTATCCATCCCATGATCCACATTTCAAATGATCAATAGCCAGAGGTAGCCAGTGGCCTCCTACTGGACAAAGAAAAAGGAACATTTGTGCCAATGTAGAAAGTTACAGTGACTACCTTCTACTCTAAAAGTCACCTTGAGATTATTTGCATACATTGACTATATCCCATCAAAGACCCTAGAGTGAAAGAGGGGCAATTCAGCCCACAAATTAACCTGACTTGCAATAAATATGGAAAATCTTATCAGGAGGAAGCAGATTATGCTTCCTAAAAGTCATATTTAACTCAGTTTGTGTCATTTCCCAAGACTCTGAAGCTTTCTGCCTTTGCTTCACAACCTATAAAAAGTATTGTGAGTTGCAAAAAAGAAAATGGAATGGGTTTATTCTGCTAGCTAAGCACTTTAGCAACAGTTTAAGATTTACTTTGCAGTAAGTTCTTGAAACCTGACTGATTTTTGTAAAGTCCTCAGCAGTTCGCTTGCTTTTCAGAATTCTTCCTTTGTCCTTATTTTTAGCTGAACTTTATTATTCACCTCTCTACCCTTTCTGTAGGTTTCTAAATTTTTCTGTCTACTACTTTGTGACACTTGCAGGGAACAATTTTTCTCCCTGTACCCTGATTCTGCTTAGTGGGTCTTTTTTTGCAATCACTTCCAATTTCCATTTAAAATTATCAAATTCTATAAAATCATGATAGCTACACCAAATAGTTCCATAACTTAATTGGAAGTCTTTCGCTTATAGTAATTCTTCATTTCTAAAGATTAAAAGACCAACCAATACAATTAGCAATACTGAAAAGTCTGAGGCATAAGCCCCTAAAAGTCTTAAGCAGAAGTATTCTGATTATATAAATAAACTCAACATCAGTTGGCAAAAGGTTTTTTGCAGAATACGCTTACCTCTTGTAATTCGCCTGAGATACTGTTTTGTACGTATGTTACTGATTTCAAGTGTGAACCATCCACTATTCATCTCTGAGAAGGCAACTTGTTTTGACATATTCCCACTTATTTGAGGGGTGTGAGGATCTTTAATATAAATATTTGACTGTGCCTATTTGACTATGACTTGTATCCCAGTAGCTCTTGCAATAATAGCTTCTTATAAGAGCCAAAGTAATATTAAAATATATAACAAAAATGTGTTTCATTGCAAAGATGACAGCATAGAAAATAATATTACTGTACTCTCAAAGAGTAAAATAAGAATTCTCATTTTTCAGTTATTAATATTTATTAAGCATCTACCATTTTTTATTTGCTTTTGACAGTGAAAATTTTCAGGCAATGAGATAACTAAGGCCACTCTGAATTTGCCTGGAATTAATTACCCAAATGTAGTTTCAGACTTTTTCCTTAATTAATGATGTCATCTTTAAAAGTACATAGTGAACAACAGCTCTTCTTAGACTATTTCCAAAATATGTCTTTCACTCAGAAGAAAACTAAGTTAGGAAAACTAGGATTATCACTGATTCGTCACTATCATTTTGTGGAAATGCACCAATTTTCTGGAAATATATTTTCAAACTCACCTCTGGGAGCAAAGAGTGTTCTTATTTGTAATAAAGGTTCTAATGCTGTTAATGATTTAATTCAAACAGTTTAAGTTTCATTTTCCTCTATTTGTGGAAATTAGTTTTTAAATAGAAAAATTGGCAAGGAAGTAGAAAAATCAATAAATAAAAGTATTCTATATGCTCACTTTTCCTTGCCCCATAGTTGGAGACCAGTTTTCCTATCGCTGAGAAACACAACCCAAAAATTACCTATATATGTTATTTCAAAATATGGAGCTTCTTGTGATTTGGGAATTTCTGAATTCTCCGAGGCTGAGGAACACTTTCTTACCTTTCATGCTAACACTTAGCAGTATAGACACGACGTGAATCTAGGAAAGTTTGTCACATAAAAATTAATATATGCTTTCTTAATTTCAAACAACAAATATGAGAAAGTCACAGCCAATGCTAAGAATTTATGAAAGAATCCGGGGGTGGGGAGGGAAACTTCTTAAAATACAAATGTTTTTCTGTGCTGACCTGGCTAGATTATCTATCAGATAAATGCAGCAAGGAACATGCAAGCACCGTTTAAAGAATTGAGCATTTGGGGAAAGTGCTTTGCCTGCCAAAACAATGCCATGCAAAGTTTATAAACTTCTCTTGGTACAGTTTTCATAGAATTACTGTCCAGGATCAAGACCACTCTCAATGAGATCCTCAATGACAGTTCTCCCATTAGTTTGTTTTATACAACCATGTTTTCTGTCAGTCTTGTCAGAATACTGTGAAACCTATATTCCTTGTTGAAGATAACTGACCAACCTATACAGATACTCATTATTTTGAAGACAGATGAAAAAGAAGTTACTGATTATATCAGGTTCTTAACTTCTCTGAATATCTCCATACAACAGTCCCCTTCCCAGTGTGTTTCACTGCATTCAACGTTACTGGTCCTAAACAGAACCAGCCTTTCTGAGAATCAGTGAATAAATTGGGTTGAGGCTGAAAGCTCAGAGAATTCTTTACTTGAAGCCACGACCTGACCTTGCTTGGCTCCACAGCTGATTCTACCTCACCCACCATCTCCGTGGTGCTGCTCAGCACAGGTGAGGGTGGCAGGAAATAGGGTGGACCCTCTTGGGCTCTGAGCTCACTGGTGACATGGGGATGTTAAATTACGAAGCACATAGAACAGTGGGCACGTGGCAAGCACCTCATAGGTGCTACTGTGTCACCTCCTGTGGTCCAGGTCCCTTGGTGCTTTCTCTCCCTCCGCTCCCCTTGCAGAAACTGGACTCCAGACCCTTCACAGTTTCTCCTCAGAGGTCAATGCATCACTCAAAATACTTGCACTGACCTTCTGTTCTGCGCCAGGCACAGAGACAGACATTACCAAGAGCGGAGGATCTCTGCTCAGAGTCAGGCAGGGTTCCCAGAAAAGTCAGGGGTTGTGATGCAGAGCAGCTGGCCGCCATGATGACAGGAACCCAGGCTGATCTGAGGAGACTCAGTGGAGCACTTCTGTGGAAGTGGGGGTTGGGCTTTCTAGAGGGAGCGAAGGAGAGACCTGAAGGACTATGCATAGGAAACTGCAATTGCAAACAGCAGAAGGGAAGGTGCCCTTAAAAACTGTGAGGACCAGAAGAGTTGAGGAGAAGCTGAGGGGAGGGGTGGTACCATCGTCATAGGCAGGAACCCGAGGTGGCTTTAAGTAACAGAAGTGCATTTATCTGCTTGGTGTTCTGTTCTAAAGCTTAGATGGATGATTCTGATGACAAAATCAGGAATGCATCAGACAAGCACTTTGGAAATTAAGAACTGCAGATTTGGATATTGACTGGTTGGATAGGTTGGAATCCAAGAGCAGGAGGAACCATGGATGGTCCTCTGGATGCCTGGTCGGACAGAGGCTGGCCTGAGGGGACAGTGCATCATTGTAAATATTGAATCCGGAGGTCCCAAGGTGCTCAGCGAGCAGGTTCTGGAGCCCAGGAGACACGTGGAATGGGACAAACTTGGTAGCCATCAGCACAAAGTGCATGGATCATAGAAGTCTCTCCTGAGGAAGGAGGAAGAGAAGGTGGTCTATGCAGATTTCTATGACTCACAGACACATAAGGGGCAGCAAGAAAAAGCAGGCTGTGAAGG